CTGTTTCTGTACTTTTTGTCCATTTTCTCCTTTAATCTGAGGTCGGCGCTGCTCAGCTGGTGGAACAGGTTGCCTACATGTCGGTGTGTTCGTTGGCAGGAGACTGAAATCCAAACACACCCCGCTGAGCTCAGCAGAGTGCGAAAGAGAGGTGCTCCTAATAAATCAGACACAACAGAGCAGTTTGATAAATGTAAATGTGGCGAGCGGTCAACAAAAGCTAAGAAATGGTTTTAAATGCAGCCTTCATAACACTATTAAAGCACCATTGTTTCCTCACGAACAGARTAATAACGACACTGAGCCGTTAATGAACACATGAACACAGACGCAGATAAGTGCAGTCTGAGCATCAAAACAAACATTCAGATGTTTAATTACATCTTTTCAGCAGTCGGTTAACGTTCTGCTCTGATAGAYGTTTGCATGAGGTCGGCTCTGAAAATGAGTTCGACACAAGAGAATCGATTAAACTGAACGTGTGGATTTTATTTTAGCTGTGCCGTCTGTCAGTGTTTCTAGAAGCAATTCACTCTTCWAGGGTTGGATTTTGTTTATGTTCCACATTACGTTTCACATTATTATTTAATCAGCAATTCAAACTTTTTTCTGTCTGCAGTGTCTAGGTTTTTTTTTTAATTTTTAATGGTTTGAAAATCTCACAAACTGGAGTCCTCCAAACCCAACATGACCTCCTCAGCTCCACGCCTTCATCTCCTGCCCGTCTCCGTCTTGCCGGCTGCTTATCTCTTGCTTCGCAGAGGCAGAAGAWGATGAGATCAATTTTTCGGATCAGACCTTGATTAAATATCGACGAGAACCGGCTCGCCCTCCGAACGCCACCCTTTGATCAGGAGACGAAAAGATTTCAAAGTGCCCGTCATTGTCTCAGAAATCAAACCTATTTAAGTTCAGCGTGCCGCGCCGCCGCACCTTAGACAGAATAAAAGTCCAATAAAAGTGTCGGGCTTTGTGATGTAATTGGTGTTCGATACATCTTCTGTGTTTTTMGAGATTATGGAGTGGAGCTCCGCAGGAAAAGAAAAATCTCTCTGTTATTTACAGTACTCCTTTTTTATTTAATTTTTGTCAACTTGAATACAGATGCCAGAAATTAAATAGTGATTTTATTTTTTTGTTGTTTCAGACTTAAATGCATCCTATTATGGGGGTCCTCTGTGGGCTATACAAAATATGTTCATTTGATTTAATTCACAAAATGAATCTCAGATAATAACATTTCACCTTTTCAGTTCTGTCTGTTCTTTAGCTCTCTTCAGAATGTGCTGTTATGCATGAGTTTCTATGGAAAGCCCCTCCCAAATGTTTGTTTAACATTAACTCCGCCCTCCCAACATCCTTAGGTAAATCCCACTCGTAGAAAGTAGTCCATGGTGAAATTATTTTCACAAACTACAACTTTCTTTGTTAATGTTGTTAGAACCTTGCCATCAAAAAATAAAATTAATCAAGTCATCTCTGTTCTCCATGGATGCTGTAAAAACAGCAGAACTGTCGTACTGGGAAGAAGTGGGCGGAGCTCCACCTTGGGTTGCCAGGTAAGGAGCTGGACTCCGGTTTAGGTTGGTGTTATTGTGACGTCACAATAACGTGGTTTGGGAACTAAACAGTTTCCAGATACCTAAAAATGCATGTAATTATTGCCAAATATTGGCTGGGTGCATTTTAATTAATTAATTTAATTATTTTTTGCTGTTTGGACTGCTTCTAGATACGAAGCACGCGAGGGTACATGGGAGATTTTTTTTTGCGTTCCCACGAAATAGCATTGCGTTACCTCGCAATACATTTTGCTTTCCCTCGCAAAAGTCGTTTATCCTTGTTGTGCCTGCCGGTTTATTAACACATTCATGTGTTCACCATGAGCGCGTTAGCATTCAGCTTCAGAATGAATATATCATACAACCACGCATGGAAGTATGTCATATGCTGATATTTTGACACACATCAGCCACGCAACATCATTTTCACGATCTTATGGCAATACATCCTGTWTTGGTAACCGGATATTTCAAAATAAAAGTCAGATTTAATTCAGTTCATGTACAAAAATTTTTTGCGTGGGAACGCAAARCAATATTGCGAGGTAACGCAAAAGTATTGCGAAGTAAAGCAAAGGTATTGCGAGGGAACGCAAAGGTATTGTGAGGGAACGCAAAAGTACTGCGAGGGAACGCACAAGTATTGCGAGAGAACGCAAAAGTATCGCAAGGTAATGCAAAAGTATTGGAGGTATTGCAAAAAATATTGCGAGGAAACGCAAAAGTATTGCGAGGGAACGCAAAAGTATTGCGAGGGAATGCAAAGGTATTGCGAGGTAACGCAAAGGTATTGTGAGGTAACGCAAAGGCATTGAGAGGGAACGCAAAGGTATTGCGAAGTAATGCAAAAGTATTGCGAGGGAACGTAAAAGTATTGCGTGGTAATGCAAAAGTATTACGAGGGAACGCAAAAGTATTGCGAGGTAGCTCAAAAGTATTGCAAGGTAGCGCAAAAGTATTGTGAGGGAACGCAAAGGTATTGCGAGGGAATGCAAAGGTATTGCGAGGTAACGCAAAGGTATTGCGAGGTAACGCAAAGGTATTGCGAGG